TCGCCTCTCCCACCGAGAGCCCGGGCCGGCTGCTGCGCCAGGCTGATGCCAAGCTGCTGGTTTTCTACCACCACCTCTTGGGAACTGAGCCCTGGAGATCTCCTCCTCCTTACCTGTATTGAGCTCTCCTCCTCCTTACCTGTATTGAGCTCTCCTCCTCCTTACCTGTATTGAGCTCTCCTCCTCCTTACCTGTATTGAGCTCTCCTCCTCCTTACCTGTATTGAGCTCTCCTCCTCCTTACCTGTATTGAGCTCTCCTCCTCCTTACCTGTATTGAGCTCTCCTCCTCCTTACCTGTATTGAGCTGATCATGGTGCTAAGGGCGAACACAGTGGCCGAATCCCGCAGGGTGGACTGGCTGTCGAAGGTCCCCTGCGTGTCCATCAGCAACACTGCAACCTGCGAGGAGGAAGCTCCAAGTCAGCGCTCTGCCCCCAAGGACACGTCCGCATCCGAGCAAAATCGCTCTCAACGCCAGCGGCGGAGGGCAGGGAGAGAGAGGGTGACAGCCAACCGCGTTTTTGAGCTGGGAATCTCGCTTCTCCTGCCTCAGATCTATAACTGGTGGAGGACAAAGGCAAAGAGCATCCCCACGCGCGCCTGGCAGCGCGAGGGCTCCAGCGAGCCGCGAGATGCATGCTGCACGACACGCAGGAGGAACTGCCTCCTTCCTCAAGTGCTTCCTGCCCGCGCGGATGGGTCTTCCGGAGTCTGCACTAGCTTCATGTCGCAGAGCCAAACGCAGCAGCTACCGCACATCCTAAACCCAAACCACGTCCAACCAAGCTTAGAAATCACACAATGAATAATTCAGTGTTGCTTTCGTGTTGAATAAATAATTCGTGTTCATGCTTTTGTGCTTTTCGTTGCAGAGCAGATGAACGCAAACACCCCTGGCTACAAGTTGCACTTGCAACATTACCCAAAATCCAGCTCTCTCTGTGTTTGAGTATCCTGAACGAAGACGCTCCATTTTACAGCTCCTGCTCTAGGAAGGGGGAGAGGTTTGCAAGGACCCCGGATTCGACATCCCTGGCAACAACCGAGAAATCACCTCTGGGATGCCCAGACACAGAGGGACACCTAGAGAGCGCATCGGGGACGTATGGGGACACCGGGACATCGTATCACGCAGTGCATTTCAACCCACCTGTGCTAAATAAGGAATATGGACTCAAAGGCCTTCTCTAAATGTGCACAGTCATTTGCGCCACCTATGACAAAGCGAGGCAGCCTGACAAAACCTGCGGCAGAAAACGAGCTGCCCAGCAACGGACAGGCAGCTATACAACACGCAGCAGAGAAGCACTCACCTTTGTACCATCGGGCTTGTCCACCAGGAAAACCTCGCTCCATATCTGAATGCCAGTCGTCTCCCGCTCAGACCCTCCCCTCCAGGAGAAGCCGGTCAGCGGCTCGTTGTAATCTCCAACCCAGTCCACCGCTTCCTGCAGACGGGAACAGGAGGAGTTGCTCGAGTTTTCGGCCCGTTTGGGTTTTGCACCTTTCTTCGGGGCTGCCTCCCCCCCAGCGCTGCAGCGAGGCAACGCCTGCCAGAGAGGTTTCCTACGGGTGACCATCTCTGCTCCCAACTCGAGAAAGGCACAGTCCCACCGGAGACCCACCGGTGCCCAGAGCTGTGGAAGGGGCTGCTCTCCCTTTGTCCCATCGGCCTTGTCCACCAGGAAACCCTCGCTCCATATCTGAATGCCAGTCGTCTCCCGCTCAGACCCTCCCCTCCAGGAGAAGCCGGTCAGCGGCTCGTTGTAATCTCCAACCCAGTCCACCGCTTCCTGCAGACGGGAACAGGAGGAGTTGCTCGAGTTTTCGGCCCGTTTGGGTTTTGCACCTTTCTTCGGGGCTGCCTCCCCCCCAGCGCTGCAGCGAGGCAACGCCTGCCAGAGAGGTTTCCTACGGGTGACCATCTCTGCTCCCAACTCGAGAAAGGCACAGTCCCACCGGAGACCCACCGGTGCCCAGAGCTGTGGAAGGGGCTGCTCTCTTTACACCGTAGGAAAAGACCTCCACTCCACCGGCTCCCAACCTGGCCCAGCTTTGCCCCGGCCTTCGCGCTTGGCATAAGAGCCAGCTCCGCCAGCTTTGTCACGGGCACTGCCTATTCCCCCCCGCGCCAGCACCCAGCCCAAGCGTTCGGAGGCCTCCCTGATGTACAGCTCTCCCAGGGAGGCCTTGGGAGGTCCCAGGCTGAAAGCCTGGCTGCAGCGCGCCCAGAGCGCCAGGCCAGTGTCCTCTCCAGCGTGTCGCGGGGAGCGACGAGCAGCAGCACCGCACCTGTGGGATAAACCACCCGCAAGCTGCAGCCATACCTTATTGTACATGTATCGCAGCATGAAGTCCATCAGGAACGACTTTCCTTTCCGGAACGCTCCAGCAACGGACACAGCCAGTGTCTGACGGCCTCCGAGAGGAGGATGCGGTGCAGCGCGGCTTCGTCCAGCTCAAAGGAGTGGTCATCTTTGACGATGAGGACTTGCACCGGCCCTGCCTTCCTCACGGACTCCTCCTCCTCCGAGCTCCACTCATAAGTCTTCTCCGCAAAGCTACCTGCTTACAAAAGGAAACCAAGGACTGCTTGCTTTCTTCTTCTGCAAAGTGCAGAGTCATAGGTTGGACAGGGTCGTACCAGGTCAGCTAACCCATACGTCCACCCCAAAACAGCACCGTTCAGCGCAAAGGTCTGTCACCCCTGCGCTCAGGCACCGCGACGGACACGCCACGCTGCTTTTGGCAATCTGTTCCCTACGGAGATCAACCTTGATAGAAAGTACCCATCGCTTTTCATCCTACAAGAGCCGACACGGAGAACAAATTATTCTCTTGTGGCCTGCAACAACGCCTCACATACGTGAAGACTGGTGTAACACCCGCCTTAGCCTTCCCTTTGCTAGGCTCCGAGCCCCTCAGTCCCCCCTTGCTGGCCATCTCTTCCAGGCATCTGATTGCTCTCTGGACACTGTCCATCAGGTGCTTTGTGAAGGACCTCGTCCTCCTGGGCACGGAGGTGAACGTCGCTGCAATACAGGACAAAGACGCGCTTTAAGAACAGCCGTCCGCGGAGACCACAGCCCTGGGGCTTGGAAAGAGCTGGCCAGCTCCAGTAATTTTCCTTTCATTGTCTCCAAACTTCCCAGCACAGGAAAAAAACCACCGAGGGTGATTACTCATGCCGTTGAGCGCACCTACAGTCGTGTAAAACCTCCTCGCCAGCAGGGAAGGGAGCGTGGGATGGAAAGTTCCTCCACATTTCGTCAAGAAGTCCCTGGTTCGTTGACTCAGGCTGGGAGTTTCCCAACCCGGTGGCCTGAAGTTAGACCCCTCAGTCCCCGTTTCCAACCCTGACCTCAGGGGCTCACTTTTCTGCCAGCCCCCCGCTATTTCTAGGACTATGGGCACGCAGGGTAAAACATGAACCATAAATCCCAGGAGGAAAGGGGTTTGTCCATTTTGGGCCTCTTTATTAACAAGCCTCCAGCGGCAACTTTGTATTTTAAATAACAGCGGTGCTTTTGGAACAGTTTCGGATTTCCTATGATCCATCTATGAAATATCAGGATCACTGAGTCTCGTTGCCAGGGGATTTCTGGCGGTTCTCAGCCACAGACCATGAGCTTTCTTTGCTCAGAGCTGAGAGACAAAGACCTTTTCTTCTAGACGCTTGGGGTTTTTTTTTAGCAAAACAGAAATCCCAAACGCTCTGAAAAGCCACATTCTCCACCGGACAAAGCTGACTTGCAGCAGTCAGGGCCCAACAGCACCAAACTCCCTTCAGACGCCAGCCCCTGCCCCGTGTCACCGCTCAGCGGCCTCCACGAAACAAACTTCCCCGTTCAAGTACACCAAACCAGGCTCCAGCTGCGCACTGCCAAATCGCTTGACAAATCAAGCGCGTTCAACGCTGTCGCACGCGCTAAATCCCATTCGCAGCAGCAAGATCTTCCCAACGCGTACGTCCGGACTCGGGCCAAGTGGTCACAGGTCTGCATGCTCTTTCTGAGGTCTGCCGCGTTGCGAGGGCCATATGAAGTCTACGGGGGGAAGGATCTCTCTCCCGTGGCGTCTCCCAACGCCTCGCTGAGCCAACCGGGTCCAGCTTTTTTCTTTCTTCCCCCAGCTGCACAGCAAGCACAGGGGAAGAGATCCCTGGAGGAAGTGGCTCATAGTGGAGGCAGGAAAAAAACGTGTAAATTCAACTGAGCCTAAACATCGCCGATTCGAGCCACCAGCGGTGGGAAAGTCAG